CTTTTCAAGTCACTTTAAACGGGACAATGATAATGATAAATTCGAAGGAGGAGAATCAAAGGTCAAGGCTTTTTCGAGTTATTGTTGAAACTTCACACGAATAGAAATGTCCAATAGATGTCAGTGAAAGTCATGAAAAAACAACTTTTCAAGATGATACGGGAGTGCGGTATAGCGATCTCATACCGCATACCGCCGGTCTCTGTTCCGTTGGAGATCCTCGATGATGGTTTTGCGAATATCATTCTGAGTCAAATCATCAATCGATTGATTTAAAGAAAATGTTGTTTGAGACGTTGGTGCAGCAGCAGCAGGCTCGGAGGCAAGTTGAGTAGAAGCCAATGCTGATGGAATATCGTTGAGAGTCAACGATCCCACAGAATCAAGTGTGGACACGGTACGAAGAGAATCAAGTAGATTATGTTTACGTAGAAAGAGTTTTCGAAGACCATAAAAATTGTAGATGAGATCTTCATGAGCAAGATAATAATCAAGAGCATCATCAATTAATAGATCACGAATAATAAATGGATGATCCGTTTCAGGGTAGGCTTCAGTAGCAAGAAAGGTAGTCGTTTTCTTCAGCTACGTGAGAAGTTGTTCAGGATCACCATTGAAAACTGAGCAATATTGTAAAAGTTTACGTGTATATTCAATTTCCTCATCACGAGAAGTGAAGGTAATTTGAGAAGGTTTTTTAGTGGTTGCAGGAATAGTAGTGACCATTGAAATCAAAGATGAGGAAGTTGGTGGAGGTATAAATCGTGTAAGTGGTTCAAGTAATTGTTTTGGCGGACTTTCGTCGTCGCTAGCGGACATATGACGGCGGTGACTTAGATTTGGATAACTGTAAGCAAAAAAGATCCCGGGTCACGGCACCAAAATGTGAGCTTTCTATATCCAAATCAAATCCACCATCAAGGACAAGGAGGGTCTCAAGGAGAATAACTATGTTTATTCGAGTTCAGAGAGCAAGTGACTCCCCAACGAAAAGAAAAAAAAAACGAAAAGGGAAAGAATGTTATCTGCAATAACATTCTTTCAAAATGGAAGAGAAGAGCGATA